GCGCATGCATTCCTGAATGGACGGAAGGTGCTACCCTGAGCGAGCTGATCAGAAAGCAAAACTAGGAGTCCGCCTTAGATGACTTTACACAGTTGCAATGGGCCTTGCGACGAAGAGAGGCGTGGATTGCCTGGGTCGGGATGCGGACATCGCTTCAATCTAACAAGGCATTTCCTTTGGCGGACAAAGGTTATCTCGGCACTTGGGTCAACAGAGCATTGCCTGAACTTATTCGCGGCCTACGTTTGGCCAGGATTCCGTGCTTCGTGGCTGCCAAAGTCCAATTCAACGACCTACTGCCACACCAGAAAATTCACCCCAATTTCATGGAGCACACAGCAACTAAACGAAGTCTAGAACTGGATAACCCATACATGCATCTGGCTCACCAAGAGAATGTGCGAATTATCACCACAACGTCAGGATCCACTCGTTTTTGGACCAGTTTGGTAGCTAACGGAGGACAACTGTCGCGGCTGTCTTTGCGTTATTCCGCTCGACCTCGCAGTCTGGGACTCTTCAGCAATCTGAAGTTCCAGAAAAAGAAGCAGCAACCCGAAGCCCCTCTTCCAGTTATCCAGCCAACGACAACGATTGCCCCCATCTTGAATCCACCACCCACAACCTTTGGGAGGCTGACTGGCGACACAGCTTTACTGGACTCGGAGTCGGATTACGGGTCAAATGATTCTTCACAAGGCACCGCACCCCAACGTCCTTCGGGGCAGGCGCACCAACCACCTGAGCCGCAACTAATGCACTTGCATCTGTAAGGGCAACCCCGGAGGCCTGAGATCAAGGTCCTAGCAGGGGAGGATCCAAAGAGTGAATAGAAGTAAGCAAATACAAGTGAGGCTGACCTAGCAGGGGAGGATCCAAAGAGAAGAAACTCTAAGGGTCCGCCTGCTAGGTAGCGGAACTATATACTGCGCTCTTGACGCGCCAAGGTTGATCGTTGCTCCGTGCAGTATGCCTGCGCCATGTCGCAGGCCAGGTCCCAGGGGATCGCCAGGCGGGGGCGGCGATGCGCCTGACGGAGGCGGTGATGCGATCGCCGGAGTCGGAACCGGAGTCGGACCGAATCGGAATCGTCTCCGAGGGGCCGAAAGGGAGGTTCCCCTGACATCACCCCCCTTTGAATGCGGCGTCCCGACGCATAGACCGGAATGGAATCGAGTCGAAGGTTGCAGAGGCGATGTGCCGTGGTTTGCCAGGGTACTTACGATAGAACTCCGCGATTTTCTCCGGGGCGAAGACGCGGTCGAAGCGGACCCACTGGTCGTGCGACGCGTCGTAGCCTTTCCATCTGACGGTAATTCAGCCGTTTATACCTCACCCTTGCGTCCAGGATTTCCTCTACTTCCCACTCCGGGACTCCGTCCTCGAGGTCCGGAGGGGGCTGGTCGTAGCCGGGGCGTCCGTCGAAGGGGGTCGTCTTGGGCGAGCTCGAGCTTGACGACGGGGAAGACCGGGTGGAGCTTCGAGTAGCGCGGAGGGAGGTCGAGCTTGTAGGCACCTTTGCTGATCTCCTTGACTATCTTGAACGGTCCGAGGCGGCGGTGGGAGAACTTCTCCGAGGGGCGAGTCGTCCTGATGTCAGAGGCATCCAGCCAAACACGGTCGCCAACCTTAAACTCCGGAGACGGAGTGCGTCTCCGGTCGTAGTAGCGCTTGTACTCCTCTTTGGCCTTAGCGAGCGCGGCCTTGGCTTTGGCAACACCAGTGGCAATCCGGTCGCGGAACTCGTTCACGGACTCCATAGCGGAACGGACTCCGGGTTCAAGCCCATGCGCGGGAGTCGTCCCGTGTCCATCATGAAGGGGACTTGTTGCGTGGAGGAGTGAACGTGGTTGTTGTAGGCGAACTCCAGGGCCGGAATCAGCTCATCCCAGTCGTCCTGCTGATAGTTGGTAAAGATCCGCAGGTACTGCTCCAGCTCCTGGTTGACGCGCTCTGTTTGACCGTCTGTCTGCGGGTGGTACGGGTGGACGTGGCAGGCTTGATGCCGATTAGACGCCAGAGTTCTCGGGTGAAGTCCAGATGAACTGCGAGCCGCGGTCGGAGACGTACTTCTCCGGAGTCCCGTGATGGCGCCAGACATTCCGGTAGTAGAGGCGAGCCGCCCCTACTGCGTCGACCGTGGTGTGACACTCCGAGAAGTGGGCACGCTTCCCAAGGGTGTCGACGACGACCATGATCGCGTCATACCCATGGGCCTCCGGAAGCTCGACGATGAAGTCGACGGAGACGGTATGCCAACGCTCTGGGGGCGTTTCCGTCGGGTGCAGCTCTCCGTGGGGCAGTCTCCGGAGTGCTTTGGTGCGACAGCACAAGTCACAGGTCGCGACGTACCGGCCAATATGGCGAGACATCTGAGGCCACCAGTAGTTCCGGGAGACCAACTCCAAGGTCTTGAAGCGACCAGCGTGTCCGGCAACTCGAGTGTCGTGGCAGAGCTCGATGATGCGTCTCCGGAGGTCCTTATCCTTAGGTACGACAATCTTCCCACGAAAGTGAAGAAGACCACCGGAGACAGCCCACTCGTCGGAGCGCGAGGAGCGGGGGCCTCGAGCTTGACCTTGGACCTTTAGGAGTTGCCGGGCCGCTAGTGCGACGGGCTCCTCTAAGTCAGGCTCACCGGAGAGGGCATCGCGGATGTCGCGAAGGAGTTCAGAACCAGGGCCGGAAACGGAAACACCTTCGAGAGCGCGGACATGGAAGAGTTCGGGCCGCAGAAGGACGACGTCGGAGTTGTCGGAATCGATTCCGTGGTCGGGTCTCCGAGAGAGGGCGTCAGGTCGGCCCATGTCGCGGCCGGGCTTGTGGTGCAGCGTGAAGTCGAACCGGGAGAGGTAGAGGGACCAGCGGGCCTGTCTCCGGTTGAGGTGCTGCGTCTTCCTGAAGTACTCCAAATTCTTATGGTCAGTCCAAATCTCAACAGGGTGCGCAGCGCCCTCGAGGAAGTGTCTATACTCCTCAAGTGCGGGATGATCGCGAGCATCTCCTTGTCGTGGATTTCGTAGTTGCGCTGGACATCATTTAAGCTTTTGGAATAGAATGCTACAGGGTGCCACTTCCCGTCCGGGGCGGATTGTGAAAGAACCGCCCCGTCGCATAATCAGAGCTGTCCGCCTCGAGTCGGAAAGGCCGTGCATCGTCCGGAATCGCCAGGACCGGTTCCGAGGTGACTGCGTCCTTGATCGCTTGGAACGCGGAGGCCTCCCGCGTCGCCCCAAGTCCATTGCTGGTCCTTCTTGGTGAGCACGAAAAGAGGGCGCGCAAGGGTCGAGAAGTCCCGAATGAACCTGCGGTAGAAATTAGCGAACCCAAGGAACTGCTGAATGTCCTTCTTGTTTTCCGGAGTCGGCCAAGCGGAGACGCCTCGACCTTGACGGGGTCCATTTCGAGGTGGTTGTGGGAGATGATGACTCCGAGGTACTCGATTGACGATTTTTCAAAGTCGCACTTCTCCGCTCGAAGGTACAACTTGTGCTCCCGGAGTCGCCGTAAGACCTCCTGGACAATCTGCCGGTGTTTCCGGAGGTCGGAATGGGCGATCAGGATGTCGTCAAGGTAGATCATGACGTCTCCGGAGAGGATAAGGTCCTGGAAAATGTCATTCATCATCGTTTGGAACGTCAGGGCGAGTTTGTCAGGCCGAAATACATCACCAAGGGCTCGAACAGGCCTCGGTTAGTCCGGAAAGCTGCTTTCCACTCGTCACCTTCCTTGATCCGGACGTTGTTGAAGCCCCAACGGACGTCGAGTTTGGTGAAGTAACGAGCGCCTTTGAGCCGGTTGATGAGGTCGTTGATCAGCGGAAGGGGGTACCGGTTTTTGACAGTCATCGCGTTGAGAGCACGGTAGTCCTGGACGAAGCGGAGTCCGCCGTCCTTCTTCTTGACGAAGAAGACCGGAGACGCCATCGGAGACTTGGAGGGGCGAATCCGGCCCGTCGAAAGCCCTTCCTCGATGAACGCGTCGAGCTCGCGTTGCTCGAGGGGTGAGATGGGGTACACCTTGCAGTTGGTGGGCTTAGCGTTGGGGACGAGTTCAATGGCGTGGTCCCAGGCTCTCCGCTCCGGTAGCGTGTCGAAGGACTCCTTGTTGAAGACGTCCTGGAACTCCTTAGCCCAGTCCGGGATCTCGGAGGGCGGAGGGGCGGAGTTCCTGGCGAAGGCTTCGGCCAGGCGCTGTGAGACAGTACTGCCAGCGCGTATCTCCTCCGAGGGGCGGAATGAGGTGTAGAAGATGCGGTCACCATCTTCAAGCTGACCATCGTCTTCATCGTCGTCAGAGTCCGGCATCAGATCAGGCAGGGCGGAGTCGTCACCGGAGACGGAATCGTCTCCGTCGTCAGGCCCAGAGAGGTCCATGGCGAGGGGAACGGGCCGGAGCGGAGTCGCTTCTGGAGCAGCCGGAGTCGCCGTAGCTCAGTCCGTTCAACGCGTTCTTCCTCGCGGCAAGTGGAGCAACCGCGGGGGCACCGTGTCATCTTGACCTCCTTGGTTTCCCAATTGATTTCCGGGTTATGCTTCCGCAGCCAGGAGTACCCCAGAATAAGGTCTTGTTTACCAAGATGAGTGACGGCGAAGTTGAACACGCTCGGAATGGCCTTTGTAGCGTAAGACCAAGTCCGCGATCTGGTTGATGGAGCCGGCGTCGTTCGGAGTGCCATCAACGTTAAAGACCGGAATCGGTTGCGCCAGGGTGCGGACCGGAATGCCATTCCGAGCGACATAGTTCGTGTCGATAAAGTCGGAGGTGCACCTGTAGTTGCCAGCATTTGACAACTGTCTTAGCAACTGCCAGGCAACCCGGTGTCAAATCCGCTAGCTCCTGCCAGGCTGAGCTGAGCTAGTGCATTTGTCAAATTCCCCCTACTTCAAACCCTCTCTGAAAAAAACCTAACCACAGCCGAGCTCGGCTAGATTTACAGATCAGTCCCTTGTTCATGAGTGATGATAGATCAATATTTATGTCCTAATACAGCAGTAACGCTACAGCGGTCCGTGTGTCAGCTCAGCCGTGTCAGCTGCTGACGTCATTGGCTCAGCGCTATTATCTGCAGCTGCGCGGATTGCCGCCACAGTGGAGGCACTCCAGATGCCCCGAAAGGCCTTCTCGACCTCCCCGTAGACGAAGCTCTGACGCTTGGCGTACGCCATCAATCCTGCCGCCAATTCCTCGTCCACCTCGGTCCTTGCATCCTCGCGTTCCTTCCATTCCCCCCGCAAAAACCTCGATACTCTTGATAACTCGCCGCATCTCCTCCCGCAATAGATGTACCTCTTCAATCCAGCGGTCACGTCGAGCGAGTGATTTGGTCCATTGAACACGCACCGCTATCCAATGTATATTAGCCAAAATGAAATGAGCGCTTGAAACCACCCACAATCGTGAAGCTCTTCTTTATTCGCCTCCCCCCCTGCGAACCATATCCATGAGACAGGCACCACCTTCTTCGTCAACGAGGGTTCATTGCGCGCACGTTTTGACGAGCCCAGCTTGCCCAATGCCGCTCGGGCCTGCGCATCGCTCTCTGATTCGATATGCACCCGTAAATCATCGTCATGCAGCTCTCGGAACTGGGGTGCAAATTCTGGCCCCTTCAAACGCACCAGAGCCGCTCTGGCTTCTCGATATTTCGTTGCTTGACGCCGCGCTTGATCCCCCACTCGCCCGATTAAGGTGCCGAACCTGGTGCTCGAGTTTTGCCCAACGGCGTTGGCATTACGAGTGTCGATTAGGTGGGTTTTCGCATGGAGATGACCTCGAATCTTGGCTAGGGTGTCGCTGCATTGTCCAAGACGCAACTGGGCCTCCCGTTTCCACCAACGTTGGCCGGCAAACAGCCTCACGTTGCTCCATTGATAGGTCGCTCGGGAGCCACAGTTTCGCAACCTCCGCTGGGGCGGGAGCAGCATCCACATCACGGCGCTCTTCCTCTGCAGCTCGCAGCTCCTCAACACCTGGCATGAAGACCATCTGGTGCATTTGCAGTGTATGCAGTTTCTTCAGCACAGATACACGCAATTCATCGAGCTGGCTGGAACGCTCGGCTGTCAGCGTCGTTTGTCCACTGGATTCGAAGCGAATGCGACGTCTAGCGAGTGTCAACAGCACTGACGAATTCAAATAATAAATGACATACTGCTGGTCCTCCAATTGCAATGCACCCTTGATGAATGCCGCCGCCGTTGTTCTGCCTGCTGCCAATTCATTCCCGCGGCCGCTACGCAATTGTTCCAATTCCGCCTTCTTCAACTCTGCCAGAATTTGAGCCTCGGAAGGCCCAGCTTTGCAAACGACATATAAGCGCACATACTCTTTTGTCGCTGACAACCTACCATGCTTAGCCGTCGAAACGTAGGGGTTCGGGCTCGTATTGTCCGCATTCCAGGCATTTACTTGACGTTGCCACTGCTCGCGCAAGGATGATTCCAAGCTGTCGTCAACTTCCGCGAACTCGTTGATTTGCGTCTCCCGCTCCGCCAAAGCAATAAGCATCTTCCTCGCAAGTGTGTTTCCTGTCATTTGAGTTAGTTGCGACCAGCGACAATATTGGATCTAACCTTGCTTCACGTTCTTTTCGAAATTGACATGATCAATCTTATCTTCGATTGTGTCGTGTCGATTGCCTTCCCCCATCTCCTTTGTAGAGAATCCAATAGGATTAAGGATTGCCCATGTGCGTTCAATGCCCTCTCCATCCGTTCTCCCGACACCGACTGCATGGGTCAAGGAATTGGCGGCTTGACAACTTGACTCGTGCGCGACCGCGTGCCAGACGGGAAGAGCGAATTGTAGCGCATAATCGTCCAATTTGGTGACAATGACCGAGTTCTTGCTGAGTTTGGTTGCTCGCTCCCGTATGCGTTGCTTCCATTGACATGCAATGTCGTAGGAGATGACCAGTCGTCGCACCCCCAACCCCCCGACTGCGTTGAGGAATACCCAGTCCATGTTGGCATAGCTGCAATTTTGGATAAGTGACGATGAAAGGACTTCGTCACCACTTACCGCTCCCCCTTTTGCAAGTCCCCCAATCCTAACGGCCGAACGATGCCATGGCGGGCACATACACATCCGCCTACACCCGATACTCTGAGACCAGTGGTCAGTCTTGTCTCCTTTTGCATCAAGGCGGCGAAGGCGATGCAGGTGCTGACCTGGCGCAAAATGGGTTAGAAATGATTCTCTTTGAAACAACAAAACTCACATCTTCTTCCGCAACGTAGTGGCGCAGGTGCTCCTTGTACTCGTTGGTCTCCACAAAATAACCAAGACCATTTCCTAAGGCAGGGTCTTGCCGCTCGTTTGCGCGAAGGCGGTTCTTCAGTCTGAAATTGGCATCCAGCGCCAGCATTAAGGAGTAAATGTATCTGTATTAAGCCTTGTCAGTTCCGTCATCGCAGAGGTCGGTAGGTTGAATAACTTACGATTTCGATGGGTCGGCATTCTCCCATCCATCAGGCAAGTTACGCTCAGGATCTGGGCATGCCCAACAACGGACGGCCAGACCACCCGCAGGCGTAGTTGCGAGTCCATCCATCGCATGGCCACGCCCGGCTCGTTTAGCCCGCATAAGGAAATCATATTGTCGACTCATACGCCCAAAGGCCTTGTAGCGATCCTAACCAGCGTCAAATTATCTTAAAAACTGAAGACAGATTCGGCACATACGGGGAGTTGCTCCGTGAATGTCGCATTGCTCAATCGCTCCAAAGAACCCACGAAGTCGTGGGCGTTCATGTTCCCCACGACCTTGAGAGTCCTAAATAGATCCAGAACTCGGAATGTGGCACATGTGGCGGGTTCTATGGTCGTCGCGGGATACCAAGCGTTGTCGAGTAACTGAGAGAGGGTGCATATGCTTATGACGCAGACTGTGACTGCACGCGCAAAATCTCGGGATTGTCAGCTCGATTTGCAGACCGAGAAACTGGTTGCGTACCTGATATCGACTTTGAAAACGCCTCCAGCATCGAGAACAACCATCCTTCGCAGTCGCGGGTCGGGATGTGGGCATGGAAATCCGTGGTGTCCCAGTTGGTACACCATGCCGAGACCAATGCTTGTTTGTGAGACGGACGGACTGAAAAGGGTACATTGGCGCCAGAATCCGGTCCAGACCTTCTCGAAGAAAGTATTAGGCCAGAGTAACAGTAATTTAACCGTTCACGCACCTGGACAGAATGTAAAGGTAGTTGCTCGTGACGATTGCGAAGACATTCTTCACACTGCAGAAAGGGGCCACAGTCGACGCAGCGAAAGGCGCGGGATTCGGCATTCTCGGTGAGAATCTCGCCACAGGCCGCACACGAGGGTCGGCCGTGGTGTCTCCCTAAAGATTCCCCTCGTAGCAACTCGTCCAGATAGGCACCGCTCATCCGGCGCCAAAGAGCCATCGGGTCTTCCTGTGGAAGCAAGTCAGTTAGAAGCATATATATGGCCCAAGAGGAGCATACAGAAGCAATTCGTTTCCGTTTGCCGGAGGTGTGGTCATCGTCTAATGGCTGTGGTTCTGAAGATATCGTCTGAGCTATTGCCGCCAGCTCGTCGTCGGCCAGCTCCGTGAAAGGCATCCATTCGGCCAGATCCTCCGTCAACTGCGCACGGGTTGCCATCGTGGGGACGACATTGAGCAGACGGGATGCGACTCTGCGGCCACTTGAGAAGGCTATCGTGGTGTCTCCTTGTACTTGGCTCGGAGGAAGACCGCCAACATGGAACTTGGGTTGTCTCCTGCGCTGCTTAGACATTGAGTGGATGGAGGGCAAAGGCAAATACACAGACCAGGACAACGGGTCAGAAGAGCCTTGGCAGTACTTGGTGAGACGCGTTGACAAATTGATGGCACGCACAGTGACACGTGCAGATACTGATGAGATGATCAGACACAAATGCGAATTTGAATCATTCATTTTTAGTGACTACAAGCATCGCTACTACGACATCTGCAGCTTCAAAGCTTAGCCTTGAACATTGGCTCGGGCAGAACTGTATCGCGGTCGTCAGGCTGGTTCGCGCTGGGGAAAAAAAATCAGAGTCAGGATTGCTTGATCGACGAAGAAAAGGACCTAGCCCATTCCGTTTCGATCGCCTCTCCGCACGTAATCATTGGGAGAAGTTCAGGCAGATAAAGAGCATGTGGTTGGCCTGTCCAGAAATGGTGTGGAGAAGTCGAAAGAAAATTATTCCAGCGGCAGAGCCAATCGCAGGAGATATCGTAAGAGGTCACCAATGACCAGTCACTGGGAAGAAGCTTCGAGTAGTCGTTCATAAAGTAGCGCTCGCCCAAAAGCAAGTCGACTGGGTCGGAAATGTGGCGCGGGATGCTGTTATAGGTCTGCCGTTGGCGGTCTGAGTCTTTCAGGTTGTCTGGGATTCAAACTGCGTCAGTTATCTGTAAGGGCTATGAATGGACCAAGCCCACTTGTGCCACGGTAAAGTACCAGTGCCATCTTGTTTTGAGCTTCGGAAATGTTGGCGCGACTTTCGAAACGCACCAGACTGCGCTTTAAATCGTCTGGAGGGTGGATCTACAAAATAAGGCTGCAGTTTCAAGTTTGGCTACATACGTGTTCGGCCCATGCTGCCCAGACGAGCGTGGACATCATACGGCAACATTGCGCCAAAAGTAGGTTGCGGGAAGCACTGTGCCGATCCTGATTTCCCACCTGAAACCTTAAACACAGAGAAGCGTCCGTGGTGGTGAGTAGTCACGAAGAAGCGGTCAGGTGAGCGACAGATCTTTGGTCACTGATTCAATGATTCACAACTACAGCGAAATAAATTTTGCTATGGACAGATATGATCGAGATTAGGATGAACCAGGGTCCGTGGCACGCGCGGGAGGAAAGCGAACATCAGACCAATCCATCCGCACTCGAGTAAAATCATGAAACCCCATATAGAGTGCACTTATCTCCCGTTGCAATGGGAGAAGGGGAAGTGGAGAACGATGCTGGACTGCATAGCACTGAGGGACTGGGCAGCGCCATGACACGTTAAGGTGGATGCGCGCACATACAAAAAACAGAAGCTGTGGTTGCACATGAAACTGGCTGGACATCAATAGTTATACGGACTGGTAATGACGAACTCACAGAACTGCGTGAGACTTCAGGCGCTGGCAAAGTCGGCAAAGATGATTCGGTTCGAGCACCACGTCGGCCAGAGGAGGGGTTTGATTGTCGTCCAGATAAAGGTGAGAGCGCCCACGATGACAGCGTAGGGAGCGTCTCTGTCGTTTTGGTCCAAACAGTCGAGAGCGGGCTGTAATGCAGCAACGCCGTAAAAACGCGACACGCTGAGCCTGGCGTTCCTCCTCCATATTCGGGTCGTCGTTTTGCTGCTCATGCAGAATGGGGTCGTCTGCGTTGATGACGGCTTCGAATGCGGCAGTTGCCATTCGAGCAAATATGGCCGGCGAGGTATCGACACGGTAAAAGCCCTGAGCGCTTTTTCTGAAGGACAAATTAGTACAAGCGAGACAAGTAACCAATTGCCAGACGTTGTATACCCGGGCGCTGCGCGTTAGCACGCAGAAGAGATGGCTGTGGCGCCGCTAAAGTTTTCGATGAAGGTGCGACCTGGTTGTTGGTGAGACGCTGCAAAGATTGTTAGATGACTCGGACACAATTGGAGTCCAAGACGAACGTGACGGCGACTCTGGAGTGCGTGGCCTTTTTCGCAGCGCCTTCTGAATAGCAGGAGTCGAAGGAAGGTGTTCGTCGGTGAATGGATTGTCACGACAACCAGGGTCTTGCGATTGCGTCGGCTGAGATGCTGTGAATCGTAAGTGCTCATATTTAACATCGATTATGTGCACTCACGAGAGGCACCCCACTCCTCGTCACTGCTGGAGACATCCGTTCGAAACTCTTCAGTGTCGGCGTCAATGGACGAGAGTGAACGGCCTGTACGGGCGCGTAAGCTTCAAGTTGGGGCCGAGGAAAAGGATCTCGTCGCCTACCTTGAGGTTCTTCATCGCTACTATACTCGGGTTCCGAGGAAGGGGGTAAGGGAGAAGCCATCTGCCCATACCATGATTTCGGTCAAGAAGATAAATGCGTGACCCGTGACGAGACGAGTCACGCACCTTTATTAGATTCGCCAGATCACATTACATTGCCTTGTACAGATGCTGGTAGATTTGTTGCTGCCAAGTCGCATCACAGTCCATCCGCATCCCTCGGGGATCTCGCCTTTCCCATTGACGCGTGTCCAAAAAAATGGGCCGGAAACGGCGAGGCCCAGGGGTTTTTTGCAATGGCGGAACAGCATCCACGGCATCGCACCATGCCACTATCGAGTCTCGTCGCAGCGCAGAGAGCTGAGGCGGTCCAAAATCAGCCGCGCTCGTTGTCCATTGAGAAACGTGCTCCTCGGACGGTGGAGTGAGCAAAGGCGCATTCAATTTGGCGACCAGGAGTTGTTGCTTCTGTACCTCGCTCAATGTAAACTTACCCAGGGCCTGCAATGTCTCCAGCTGCTCTGTTGATATGGGGGATACGCCGCGAGGGAGCTGTGCGCTTTCCCTGAGTCGATTAAATTAGCAAGCATAATTGCGCGACAAACTTGAATCTATACGTGCCATTCAAGAACGGGGGTTCTGGGTTGAAGGAATCCGACACTATCTCATACGTGAGTTGAAAGAGCTGGGCTGAAGTAAAAAAAAAGACAAACTGGGTGGCCGAGTACGGGAAGAGTTCCGAGGGGGAACGAGGACGCGTAAAATGTCGATGTCGACTCCGGGTCGGACCGTAGCTCCAAGTGATCCAAAGTCAGCGCAACGTTGGCGACGTCAGCAGGCATTTCTTCCGAGGCCGACGCAGCCGGAGGGGCGCTTGGGGCATGGTCCTCGCGTTCTAGCTCTGCCTCAGCTTCAAGAACGGGCAGAAGAGTGGTGGGAGCATCCTTGTTGGCGGCGAGGGCTCGTTTAGCTCGACGATTTGCTAGAATCTTGACTTGACTAAAGTATTTTCAGCCAGAAGCAAGAAGACAGAACGCTCCAGACACGGACTGTCGGGAATAGTAGGCTTTTGAGGCATTGCGGTGGACCTTTTGTCGCTGCTGTTTTGTCTGGCTAAGGAGCAAAGTTAGTTATGAGTAGCGAAATGAGGGAATAATATGCCGCTGATGTTGACGAAAAGCTGCCGTCGCTACTATTCGCCCGCTGAAAGGCCATGGTGGTAGTGAGGAACCAAGTGTGACCAGACATGTCAATGCCTATTATTTGGTGTTCTGACTTCATTCGTCTGAACACACAGTTATCGGTGGGTCGCAAATGAGCTCTAGTATATTAGTAGGCACCATAAACATCTATCCAGTAAATTTTCATGACCCACAGACCAATGACGGCCCTTGGGTGGGCCAAACGGTGTCGGTCTGAAAAATGAAACTTCATGTATGGGTAATCTGGTCGTCCTATGAGGTTAATATATCCTAACGCAGGCTACGTACGTTTTTATTTTGGTCAGAAATGTCGTGAGCTCCATGGTAATTCGCTTGCGAAGCAATCAGGTGAGTTGCGAGCTATTGGCCAGCAATATGCTTAATCGCCGATAGTTGAGTGCTGTGGGTGCACTCATTATTGACCACAAAGGAAATTAGTCTCTATCCTGTATGTGCTCAGCTTTGTTGCAGCGCAATGAGGGTCAGCACAGTTAGGGGCCGACTTGCCTAATCCGGCAAACTCTCTCGTTCTCAAACGTCTAGAGGCCGTGAGACATCATTCTTCCAAAAGGAGACAAATAGAGAGGACAGATGAAGCAGATATATATTATAAGTCCAAAGCTACAAAAACAATAACAACAGCAGCAGTACAAGTACCCAAAGAGCGCCCCGCACAAACGATCACTCGGAGTCATAACCCCAGTGGATGGGGAAAAAACGTGTACCATCGGGATTATGAAGTCGCTCAGCGAGTTCATATGGGACAAAGTACATCCACGGATCCAACTTCGCTGGGAGCTCTCGAGCTGCAGCAGTGACCTACATAGACGATTAATGGATGGAGATTATGACGATAAAGATGCAGGTTACTCACTGATAAATGGCACCATGGATGAGCGGGCCGTCATCGACGATGATATCGCGGGAGAGGGCTAGACCACAACCGAGCTCTAAAGACCGCGGCAGCGGCGGCAGCGTCATTTTCGGCAGGTTCCTCCTCATCTGGGTTGTCGGGCATCGGTGTATGACGAACAACGAGAACGTTCCCGAGTGGGGGGCGAGGGGTATCCTGGTTCTTCTCCTCAGGCAAGATCGCCTCGATCGCGGCGTTGGCTGAGAAGAAGGGACTGTCATCGGGAGAATGGGGGCAGGTCAAAAGCATGGTGAAGGAGCCATCGACATGCGGGAAGTTGGGCCGAACGCAGAGCGAGCACGAGAGTGTGTTGTTGTGCAGGAGAGGAAGAAGATCCTCCCGCTCGCAGGCCGCGTTGAGGGTCGAATGCGGGAAAGCCACAAGCCTCGCTGCACCCGTTTCCGAGTCGTACAGAAGGGCGGCGATGTGGCCGGCCGGGATCTAAGTCGAGATTCAGACTGATCGCTTCGACATTGTGGGGATAGGTACCTGGCCACTTGCGGGGGTGATCTCAAGCGTTCGACTCGAGGAGGG